GCAGTGTGCGTGAAACCGCGTGGAAGTAGCTAGTATAGATTTATTTTGACTGCATGGTTGACGCGGTGACTTGGCAACTGGCTGCCGTGTAGATTGTTGTTCCGGATCTGGGTGTCATGTGTATGTGAACTTGTATGTTTGTGAACGCACCCATGACACAGGAGAAAATCCTAATGTAGGCAATACGTTTTAACTCGTCGAGTACCGTCATTATAGACACAATTATAGAACAATAGGTTGCGGTCACCGGTGACCGCTTGGTGTTTGACAGTTTAAAAAAGGAATGAAAAAAATGAGAAATTAAAAATCTTTTAAATTACATATTATGTTTTCGGCTTACTCACGTAATAATTTGACGAGGAACTCGACTAGTTTCAAGCCATGCTAGAGGCTCATATTCATGAGCAGCATTTCGCATAAGACCATAATAATTTATATAGTACCTCTAGATATGTCTCACGAAAGTTACAATACAAAAATCTTTATTTTTTTAAATAAACGATTTCATTTTGTCTGGTTCAGTATCAGGGAGCTTTAAATACAACTTTATTGTGATTAACACTATTATAGACTAACACGAAGCGTTTATACGATGATTATAATCAATTTATTTGACCTAGCAACTTCAATTAAGATGCCTGAATCTGAGGACATGGTTTTGATTCGTTCTTTAGATTTAACAATAGGCACAGCATTCGACAATATTTCCGTAAAAAAGTAGCGAGTCAACTTTATTTTCATTTTTCTCCATACAAATTTAAATTTTCGAACAAGTCCTTCAATGACAGACTGACTGACAAATGACGAACAGATATTTTAACATTACGTATAGAAGTAAATATATGTCATTGTAGAACATATTTTTAAAAAGAGTAACGAATGGAGTTTCTTGCTCGTTCTTCTCCATTCGAATCTACATTTTGGAATGAGCACCTTGCTTCACCTAGCTTCACTGCCGGACTGACTGACAGACTATTATTTATTTTGCATTTTGACGTTTCAAAAGTACCAAACTATGGTTTAATTAAAATAAATGCTTTGACTTTGGAATAATACGGTATTTTACAACTAATCAAATTCAATAATTTTATCGAAACGTCATAAACGATATGTTTCTATAAATTTTGTATCAAAAACTAACTTATGACGTCATGATATTTTCGAGTCGAATAGCACACTTATTTCTGAAAAAAAATGCTAGAATAAATCGACAATTAAGTATATCGTCAAATATATGAATGAAATTGAATTATTTTTGTTTATTTAATTGGATTAAAAAATCAAAATAATTTATTATTGACCCACGAAAGTACTCAATTCTTTTAACTTTAACAGAAAATAAG